GTAGGAAGACACCATCCAAGCCCTCCCACTAGAGGGCCATTCAGCCTCTGCTTCAAAATCTGCATAGAAGGAGACATCAATAGGCACAATACTATTGATGAGTCTTAGGATCTCATTGGGAGGGTCATAGGGTTGACACCCCCTCTACGTTGTTTAGGCTCTGGTTCAGCGTACCTGTCCGAATGTATCTCCTTCTACGTCCCACCTCAGAGTTTAAGATCCTCTGGGGAAGCCCTGCTCTCGGCCCCGCCTCTGTCTCAAACACGTTTGGCGGGGACAAAGGACAGGGCCTTCTTGGTGGTGGCTCCCCACCTGTGGAATTCACTTCTCGGGGAAATTAGGTCATCATAATCCCTCCTCACCTTTAGAAAGAAGATAAAAACATAGATGTGGGACCAGGCCTTCGGACAATTAGGCTGAAAGGACAATTGATAATGATGACTATGGCTTGGAATTGGATTATGGATAAGTTAAACAGAGTACTCAGTCATAGTACATGATTAGATAAATACCTACCAGACTGGTAATAGCTCAGTGGACTGTAAGGATTAGGTATGTGCAATTGGTTCTAAAGTACTTAAAAAGCTAAAGTTCTGGTGGTGAAAACCAGGTGGCGCTGGTGCTTTGCTTCTACAGTGTTGCTAAAGTTCTGGTGGTTGACATTTCTGAACTCTAACAAAATTTTCAAAATTTCATTATAAATGGCAGTTACTAATAGGTTCTCTCATAAAAACCATCAATAATGAAATAATAATGAAATTTTGAAAGTTTTGTTAGAGTTCTGAAATTTTCACCACCAGAACTTTAGCAACACTGTAGAAGCAAAGCACCAGCGCCCCCTAGTTTTCACCACCAGAATTTTAGTTTTGTAAGTCTTTAGAACCATTTAGAAGCATGGATTGCACATGACTAGTAAGTATACTCCTTTAATGTTTATGTCTCAATGTTTATGCTTTTAACTGTTATAATTATTGCTGTTTTGTATTTCATTATGCGGCATCGAATTGTTGCCAATTGGAAGCCGCCCTGAGTCCCCCCCCAGGGGGTTGAGAAGGGCGGGGTAAAAGTGTTCGAAATAAATAAATAAATAATAGTCTAAACTGAGATCAGAGTGAAGAGAGGGGCCAGGAAGGCAGTTCCATTTTGTCTCCTGCACTGTGCTTATAATAAATATAATATAATATAATATAATATAATATAATATAATGTATTGTATATACATATAATATTAATAATTGAGTAGGGTGGGGTAAAAGTGTTCAAATAAATAAATAAATAAATAAATAATAGTTTAAACTGAGTTCAGAGTGAAGAGAGGGGCCAGGAAGGCAGTTCCATCTTGTCTCCTGCACTGGGCTTATAATAAATATAATATAATATAATATATAATATATTGTATATACATATAATATTGATAATTGAGAAGGGCGGGGTAAATTGTTCGAAATAAATAAATAAATAAATAATAGTCTAAACTGAGATCAGAGTGAAGAGAGGGGGCAGGAAGGCAGTTCCATCTTGTCTCCTGCATTGTGCTTATAATTAATATAATATAATATATTGTATATACATATAATATTGATAATTGAGAAGGGTGGGGTAAAAGTGTTCGAAATAAATAAATAAATAAATAATAGTCTAAACTGAGATCAGAGTGAAGAGAGGGGCCAGGAAGGCAGTTCCATCTTGTCTCCTGCACTGTGCTTATAATATAATATAATATAATATAATAATAATATAATATAATATAATATAATATAATATACATATAATATTGATATTAGAATGTAATACAATATAATACTAATAATACTAATATGATATTATAATTATATATTTTATATTAAATGTAATATTGGTTACCTCCAGATTGGACTACTGCAATGCGCTCTACGTGGGGCTGCCCTTGAAAACGGCTCGGAAGTTCCAACTGGTCCAACGAGCAGCAGCCAGGATGTTAACTGGGGCCCCTTACAGAGAGAGGTCAACCCTCCTGTTCAAGGAGCTCCACTGGCTGCCGTTTATTTTCCGAGCCCAATTTAAGGTGCAGGTGCTTACCTACAAAGCCCTGAACGGTTTGGGACCATCCTACCTGCGTGACCGCATCTCGTCTACGAACCCACGCATTCACTTCGGTCATCTGGAGAGGCCCTGCTCGTGATCCCGCCTGCGTCGCAAGCGCGCTTGGTGGGGACACGAGACAGGGCCTTTTCTGTGGTGGCCCCCCGACTCTGGAACACCCTCCCCAAAGATCTTAGACAGGCCCCTACACTGGCAGTCTTTAGAAAGAACTTGAAGACCTGGCTGTTCCGATGTGCCTTCCCAGAATAGGAATTCTCCAATACCAAGTCCCAGAAGCACTTTATTAGAACTAAGATTGCTGCACACCGCACACTGCACTTACCCTATAATGCCTTATATACCACCTGTCACATCAGCACTTTTAATCCTGTACCCATTACTCTGGCCTGGCCCAGTTTTATTGTGTCTTAGTGTATTGTTTATTGCTTGTTGCTTATATTGCTTTAAATCGTTTTAATTTGCCTTAGGTTTTGTATTGTATATGAGTGTTGAGGCCTTGGCCTTTGTAAGCCGCATCGAGTCCTTCGGGAGATGCTAGCGGGGTACAAATAAAGTTTAATAATAATAATAATAATAATAATAATAATAATACAGTATAATGTTATAGTACAATGTAAGATATAATATTAATATTGTGCTATGGTAATAATATAATATGTTGTATTTACTTTTTACTTGTAAGCCTCTCTGAGTCCCCTTCGGGGTGAGAAGGGCGGCATATAAATGTTGTGAATAAATAAATAATAAATAAAACTGTATAGTGTCTGAGCCTGCCTTTCTTTCTCCATTTGTCTTTGGCAGGAGGACCAGGAGCAGGAGGAGGAGGAGGAGGAGCAGGAGCAGGAGCAGGAGCAGGAGCAGGAGCAGGAGCAAGAGGAGGGGTAGGAGGAGCAGGAGCAGGAGCAGGAGCAGGAGGAGGAGGAGCAAGAGGAGGAGCAGGAGGAGCAGGAGGAGGCGCAATGGCGGCCCCTGAAATCCAGGCCCCTGTTTCCACAAGCGCCCAAGGCAAGAAGCAATCAATTACAGTGACACTGCCATCCTCCGGCTCCGAGGCCCCAATCCCCAACAAGTCAGGCACCTCCTTGGAGGTAAGGGAACCAATGGAACGGGCACCATAGCTCCCGTTTCCAATGTCGAAATGTTGGAACCAGAGCTAAAAAAATTAACTGATTTTTTCACCAGTCATCAGGTACAGAAAGATTTTCATCCTGATGTATGCAGACGATATGGTGCTTTTCTTGCTCTCTCAGTTGGGTCTTAAAATATTTTGCCGGTTATCAGGACCTACTGCCAAGAGGAATATCGGTCAGTAAATTACTCCAAGACCAAGGTTATGGTTTTTGGCAGTCAGTGTTATAGATCAGCCTGCGATTTTGTCTGACGTCAATGGGGATGATGGTTTGTCTGAGCATGGGCTTTAGAGTCCTGGCCTGAGGTTTCAAGTCTTGAAAATGAACGAAGTGCTTCTCCTGTAGATTCGGAAGGACACATTCCTGAAAGGGGCCCACGGCAGCCTTTCTCTGGGGAACTCTCTTCTGAGGATGATTTGTCAGGTGCAGAAGTTAATGAAATAGTGTGGGGGCAGTTTAAAAATATATATATGATATTCAGAGGCGGCCCTAGGTAATTTTCAATGGTAAGCACACAGTATTTTGGTGCCCCCCCCCAACCAATCATTGATATAGATTTTCTATTTGTCGTGGGAGTTCTGTGTGACATATTTGGTTCAATTCCATCATTGGTGGAGTTCAGAATGCTCTTTGATTGTAGGTGAACTATACATCCCAGTAACTACACTTTCCGCACTTGCTCCCTTGCCTGGCCCGCTTTGGGTCCGGAGGCGTGCCTGAAGACCCCGGCGTGTGCACCAAAAGTCACCTCTTCTCCTGACTTTCTCCTCAGCCATTGGGACCGAGAGAGAGAGAGGTGGAGATGCCCACCTTTCCTGAAGGTAGGCGCAAAAACAAAGGAGGGAGCGGAGGTGGGAGATACCTCCAGCCGGAGGGGCTCTCTCTCTCTCTCTCTCTTGGTCCCAATGGCTGAAGAGAAAGTCAGGAGAAGAGGCAACTTTTGGTGTGCACACTGGGGTCTTCAGGCACGCCTCCGGACCCGAAGTGGACCAGGCACGGCGGCTCCGCCCCTTGGCTCACCCGTGGATTGGGGAGAGGAGAGGAGGCGGGTGGAGCGCCAGGGGATCAGGAAAGGGAGCTGGTCATGGGGAAGGGATCGTACGCAGAGAACGATTGAGCACCGGCTCTGCTTGCGCACCCGGTGGCCAGGTGGAGCAGGAACGAGAGGAGCTAGGCGAGGCTCAAGGGCCTGGCCCCTTTGGGAAGAGGATCGCCCGGCAGCGGGGCAAGAAAGCCGAGGCTCCCCCTGGACTGCTAGGGCTGTTCTCAAGTGGCTGTCGAGGGGCATTTACGGAGGTGCCTCTGTACCCCTGGCAAAAAAAAGTGTTCTGCGACCGCTTACTTCGCGTAATGGACGAGCCGCCCCTGATGATATTAATATTACAATATTAAAATCAAAATATAAACATTTTAAAATACTTGATGTTTCTTGAAAGCGTTTCTCCCTGAAGATTTCAACGGAACAATATGTATTGATTTCTCCCTTTGGTACAAAAAATCTGTTTGAACTGCTTGTATGTACAGAACACATAGGTCATGTAACCCTTTCAGTGCTTGACTCCCATTTTTGTAATTAAAAATACACGGTGCAGAAATCTGGGGCCTAGCTACTAACACTTTCTCCTTTTCCCCTCCTCCTTCCTTTTCTTTCTTCCTCCTTCTGTTCTGCTTCTCCTCCTTTCCCTTCTTCTTTCTCCTACTTTCCTCTCTTTTTGTCTTCTTCCTCTTCTCCTTTTCCTTCTTCCTCTTCCACTTCTTCTTCCTATATTTGCCTTTTCTGTTTTACAGCCTGGACTTGTTGCAAGTGATAAAGATGTGAGCAAAACCCAAAGCCAGCACTCAGAGCCAGGTAAGGGGGCGGAAAGGGGGCGGGAAATGATTGAGGCTGGGTGGATATACTTGCATTTGGAAAATATCTATTTCTAGTATTCAGAAACCCCAGTGAAAAAATTCCAAGTCTGAATCTTGACATTTCAGAACTTATTCTGTGCAGAATTTTCATGTTTCTCTCTGGGTTGAGATAGTTTTCTGTGCGGAAAACAGCTGAATAAGTACCCAAATACGACAATAAGTCGGAAGGTAGTGTTATGCAGAAAATGTAATATGGGGTTGGGGTTCTTATTGGAATGGACAGCTTTCAGGCTCAATAGGAAGGCTAGCACTGACATAGAATCACAGTTGGAAGGGGTCTCCAAAGGCCATCCAATCCAATTTCTGCCATAAAGGACAACACAATCCAATCTCTCCCAATGGAGGACCATCCAGCCTTTCATACAATAATAGATTTCTAGAGTTTGAAGGGACCCCCAAAGGCCATCCAGTCCAACCCCAACCTGCTATGTAGGAAGGCACCATCCAAGCCCTTTCACCAGAGGGCCATCCACTCCAACCCTATTCTGCTATGTAGGAAGGCACCATCCAAGCCTTCCCAATAGAGGGCCATCCACTCCAACCCCATTCTGCTATGTAGGAAGACATCATCTAAGACCTCTCACCAGAGGGCCTTCTACTCCAACCCTAATCTGCTATGTAGGAAGGCACCATCCAAGCCCTTTCATCAGAGGGCCTTCCACTCCAACCCCAACCTGCTATGTAGGAAGGCACCATCCAAGCCTTCCCACTAGAGGGCCTTCCACTCCAACTGCATTCTGCTATGTAGGAAGGCACCATCCAAGCCTTCTCAATAGAGGGCTATCCACTCCAACCACATTCCGCTATGTAGGAAGGCAGCATCTAAGCCCTCCCACTAGAGGGCCATTCACTTCAACCCCATTCTGCTATGTAGGAAGGCACCATCCAAGCCCTCCCAATAGAGGGCCATCCTTTCCAACCCTAATCTGTTATGTAGGAAGACATCATCCAAGTCATCCAAGACACAATCCGACATCATCCATTCTCTGCTCAAAAACGTGTCACTTTCTCTTCTCTCCTGTTCTTCTTCCACAGGAGGGGAGACTCTCCCTTCACAGGGGACCAGCAGCAAGCCGTCCTTGGTCTCGGTCAAAGAAGTTGCCTCCACAGCCAGCAAGAACAGCCTCCCTGCGGTGGAGGCCAAGTCCAGCAAGGCGGAAAGCGTCAACGACAAAATCCTGCCTTCGGTCTCCGGCGAAGCCATCAGCAATGAAGGGGAGGCCTCCGTTTGCGAATCCGCCGTCTGTGGAAGCAAGACGTCTTGCTGTGGATCGGCCGGTTGTGGAAGCAAAGGCTCCTGTTGCGGATCCGCTGGCTGCGGGAGCAAAGGGTGCTGTGGATCCGGAGGCTGTGGGAGCAAAGGATCGTGTTGCGGATCCGCTGGCTGTGGGAGCAAAGGATCGTGCTGTGGATCCATTGGTTGCGGGAGCAAAGGCTCCTGTTGCGGATCCACCGGCTGCGGGAGCAAAGGCTGCTGTAGATCTGGTGGCTGTGGGAGCAAAAGCTCCTGTTGCGGGTCGGTTGGTTGCGGGAGCAAAACGTGCTGCGGATCTCAAGGCTGTGGAAGCAAAGGTTCCTGCTCTGGCTGCGGTTCCAGCAGATCTTGTGGCGGCAAGTGCTCTGGGTCGGGCGGCGGTAGCCTCAATAGCAAAGCGACCGGCGAATATGACTCCAGCGGGAGCAGCAACAAGCGCACAAGCGCCAGTGGACCCAGCAAAATCACGTTCACCTCCACGACCACGGGTAAGTGTCCTTCCTGGGTCAAAGGCCATGGCCTCTGGATCTCCAAAAACCTGAAACAACAATGATGAAGTCCAAATATTGCTCCAAAGGTGGAGGAACCGAGAGAAGGGCTTCCATGGGAGGAGAAGGGTCTTCTCGTACAATGTAGAATTGAATTCACAGAGCAACAGCAACAACAACAACAACAGTTTATTTATAGGCTGATTCTTGAGTTGGAAGGAACCTCGAGATGATTCTTGAGTTGAAAGGGATCTCGAGGGTCATCTCTAGTTAGATCCTTCTCTATGGGAGAAAAAGGTCCTTCTAGAACTGTGTCCTGAACTTGTGGGTCCCCAAGTGTTTGGCCTACAACTCCCAGAACTCCCATCCAGTTTACCAGCTGTTAGGATTTCTGGGAGTAGAATGTTGTAGTTCAGCCTGTGATTGATGCCAATGGGGATGAAGGTTTTCCTGGGCCTGAGTCCTGGTCTCCAAAGACATGAAGCAACAATGATGAAGTCCAAATCTTGCTCCAAAGATGGAGGAACCAAGAGAAGGGCTTCCATGGGAGAAGGGTCTTATCATACATTGTAGAATCAAATTCATAGAATAATAATAATAATAATAATAATAATAATAATAATAATACTTTATTCATAGGCTGCCTTATCTCCCCGAGGGAAGATAGGGTTGAACTAGGCGATTCTTGAGTTGGAAGGGACCTCAAGGGTTATCTCTGATTAGATCCTTCTCCATGGGAGAAGAAGGTCCTTCTCAACCTGTGGGTCCCCAGGTGTTTTGGCCTACAACCCTCAGAAATCCCATCCAGTTTACCAGCTGTTAGGATTTCTGGGAGTTGAAGGCCAAAACATCTGGGGACCCACAGGTTGAGAACCACTGTCCTAGAAGAACAAGGGAATGTTATAGCGTTGGGTCCATATTAAGAGCTGAACTAGATGACCCTTGAGTTGGAAAGGTCATCTAGTTCAACCTTTCTCTAAGGGAGAAGGAGGTCCTTCCAGTATAAGAAGGGAATTGTAGAGTTGGAATTGTTGAGTTGGAAAGGATCTGAAGTCTTCATCTACTCCAAGCAGGAAGCCATAGCTTGGTCTCAAGATGTTCGGGGCTTCATGGTTCCCAACCAGTCTTTCTTTTCCTCTTTTCCTCTTTTCATTCCTTCTTTCCTTCCGTCCTTCCCAGGAGTGACTGCCTCCCAGCAAAGCTCAGTGAAGCCATCCACCAAAACCGCTATTCCTTCCACCATTACCCTGCATACCATCACCAGTGAGGCCTCCACCAAAGAAAAACAGAAGAAGAAAGCAACATTAATGGTGTGAAACGATGAGGGGAAAAAAGTATTCTCGGGGGGGGGGGGTGTCTCAGAAAGGGGCCTTGTTTCTTATCTATTTTGGAATAATTCTTGTTTTTAGTTTTCACAGTCGGAGCCAGAGCCGAAAGAGAAAACCTGCAGCAAGAAGGGGCAACGCGAGAAGAACAAGCTAGGTATGGATGAGAAAGGGATGTGTGGGGGAGAAGAGGAAGCAGAAATGGGTTGGGGGGGGGTGCATAAAAATGCTGTCAGACAACCACTCATTTTGATCCCCTGCTTGATGTCTTCATTGGCGTTAATTCCTTCTAGCAGAGCACTTGGCCTCGACCTCGCATGAGAATGACTCCGGGTCGTCCTACTCGGCGTACCTTCAACACTTGCTCTCACACACGTAAGCGGACGGGGCGAGTCCTTTGGGTCATAAGGGGAAATGCCTGGGGGTTTTGCGTTATTGCAATTTTATCATATTCAGGGGATGGGGTAAAAACTATTTGAAGAGGCTGTCTTGTACTGATCAGTTCCCCCTCATCTCCCCTTCCTTCCTTCCTTCCTTCCTTCCTTCCTTCCTTCCTTCCTTCCTTCCTTCCTTTCCTTTCCTTTCCTTTCCTTTCCTTTCCTTTCCTTTCCTTTCCTTTCCTTTCCTTTCCTTTCCTTCCTCTCTTACAGGGACCAGTCAGCACTGCGAGAGACCCTAAGGGGAAAAGTAAGTTCTCCCCATGGTCAAAGTGGTCCTTGGTCAAAGTGGTCCCTGGTCAAAGAGGTCCCTGGTCAAAGAGGTCCCTGGTCAAAGTGGTCCCTGGTCAAGTGGTCCCTGGTCAAAGTGGTCCCTGGTCAAAGTGGTCTCTGGTCAAGTGGTACCTGGTCAAAGTGGTCCCTAGTCAAGTGGTCCCTGGTCAAAGTGGTCCCTGGTCAAAGTGGTCCCTGGTCAAAGTGTTTCCTGGTCAAGTGGTCCCTGGTCAAAGTGGTCCTTGGTCAAAGTGGTCCCTGGTCAAAGTGGTCCTTGGGCAAGTGGTCCCTGGTCAAAGCGGTCCCTGGTCAAAGCGGTCCCCGGTCAAGAGGTCCCTGGTCAAAGAGGTCCCTGGTCAAAGTGATACCTGGTCAAAGTTGTACCTGGCCAAGTGGTCCCCGGTCAAAGTGGTCCCCGGTCAAAGAGGTCCCTGGTCAAAGTGGTCCCTGGTCAGGTGGTCCCTGGTCAAAGTGTTCCCTGCTTTCGAAACTCATCCCAATGAGACTTTGAAAAAAAAAGAAGAGCTGTTTGAAATCCAATGAGAACCTGGTTACAACTAAAGGTCAAAGACATAGAGATGGCACAGATTCCTTATAGATTTTCAATGCCAGTAGGACAACAGGCAGCTTTGGGGGAGGAAAGTGTGGACAGCAACAAGAATAACAACAACTGTCACTTCAATGGGCACCTCCGTGGCTTAGATGACAATGATGATGATGATAATAGCAATACAGTATGCATCAAGTTCTAAAATGATACGGGATGCATATCTATATAAACGGATGATATCCCAATGTGATAAGGTCCTAAGATATGTGTTCATGGGTAAATAACTAACCAAGGGCCATATTTCTTGCTCAGGTCTCCGTGTCCGAGCTGAACGGCATCGTCCAGAACATCATGACCTGGGTGGTGTCGGCAGTCACCAGCATCCTCTACCCGGCCCTCACTAAGTTTGAGGAGCGCGTCCGTGCCCGGGTGTACACCATTTCGGAAGAGTCCCTACTCTCCTCTGACAACTCCTCCACCTGCAGCACGTGCAATGAGGAGCGCTTCGAGGCCCATGGCGGACTGCCCTCCCTCTGTGCCGCCGCCACCGCTGGGAAGCCCTCCACCGCTCTCATGGCTTCCAAGTCCTCCTTCACCTCCTTCTCCCTGGATGGTGAGCTCTTCCGTCGCCACTTCCGGCGGGGCAAGGCGGCCATCTTCTTCTCCCCGGCCAAACACAGGGCCATCCTCACCTCCACCACCAGTATGAGAAGCTCCAAGTCTGACAGCCACCTCTCTGACATGCAGAAGGCCTTCCCAGATAAACTGTTTGGCTCTCATGGCAAACATGGCAAACACGGAAAACTGAGGGAGCACAGCTCTAAAAAGGATGCCAAAACCAGGCCCAGTAGCACAACCGCCACCACCGTTGCGGCCATGACTGACATGGAAGGGTTGCCTCTCGCCGGTGGAGGGCACCAACCACCCCATGACCCCAAAGAGCCGCTGAACCTGAAGGACCTCAAGAGTCTTTTTGCCGAACTGAAGCAACCGCTCTCCAAGATCACGGCCATCATCCTCAACGATGTCTTCAAGAAGATCCTGGGAGATTTGGGTTGCACGGCCACTGCCGGCTCACTCTCTATGGAGGTTCTGCTGGAATCCATTTCAGAGAGTGTTTTGGGCAGCCACCCCGGTGGTTCTCCAGTGGCCGGTGCAGTCTCCCGCATTGCCAGCTTCGTGGCCGGCGACTTGGTGGAGAATGTGCTGAACAAGCTTCAGGTGACGACCCTCGCCAAGTATGTGGAGACCGTTTCCAGAGATGAATTCTCCATGGAGTGCAAGGCCTTGTGCACAGTGGCAGCGGCTGGGAGACATGGGGCCCTGGACCGGGTGTCATGGAGACCTCGGTTGCCCCTCTCTTTGGAGTCAATGCATGGCACGGCGGAGGAGATCCTTCACTTCATTCTCAATAAGCTCAAAGTCTTTGCCCTTTCTAGCCAAACCAAGGTCTCCCAGTTTGAACTCTTTGCTAGGATTAAGGCCTTTGGGATTCCTCTGGAGCAGTTTTATGTGGCCCTCCCGCCACATACCGTGGAATCTGAAGCCGCAAATGCTATCGTGAAGGACACCATCCGGAAGATTGTTTCCAAGACAGTGGCCTCGTCGGAGACACACGTCCTTCAATATGTCGAAGAGATGGTTGGCAGCATCCTGGGCTTCATCCAGCGGCAGCTGAGCCCTGAAGGAGTGCTCCCGGCCCGAGAGAGCTCCATCCTCCTCCAGCTTATTAATGATGTCTTCAACAGCCTCAGCACGGAAAATCTCAGGGGGATTTACGCAGCGGCCAAATCCCAAATGCAAATAGGGGCTCCTGGCTATGATCCCCCGGCCGCACCGGAGGTGCAAGGGCAGACGGCAAGCATCACGACCCTCTTTACTTCAGAGGAAGCTATGGTGAAGCCCTTCGCTCCTGTGAATGTCCCCGGAATGGTCATTTATTCTGAATTTGAGGAGAAAGAGAAGACGGGACCCGATGGGACAATATTGTCCGTCAACAAGGAACGCAAAGTCTTGGTAACAGAAGTCCCAAAAGGAGAAGAAGAGCTCCCAGTCAAACACAAGGGGGGCGAAGCAAATGGTTTGGACAAAACTGACAGCCGTGTGGAGAATTTTGTGCAGGAAGCCATTTTTTCTTCTGTGGAAGGCCACCAAAGGGTGACTTTTCCCGCTGACCCTGAGTCCGAGACCGGAGAGTGCAACTTAGTGAAGGCCTTGAAAATACTGGAGGAAGACTTCAAGGAGGAGGAGCACGCGACCCTCGTCCCACTGCTGTGTAACCTCCTCAACGAACTCTTCCGGCTTGTTTGGGCTGAGCAACCTGCCTGGCCCTCAAAGGCACCTCCGCCATCCCTTGACCATGTGAGCCTCAGCCGGCAGCACCTAGAAGGGGAGCTGGCCTTCAAGGAGGTTTCTGCTCTGAAACCTCCCATCTCGGAGGCTGACATCAAGGTGTTGGCTGGTGACCTGGTGAAGTCGGCCTTCCAGACTATCTCCCAGGCCACACAGACGGACGCATCGGCCACAGCAAGCAGGCAGCCCAGCCTCATGGTCACCGACAACCTCCAACACAAAATGCCACTGGAGGCTGACAAAGGGCCCCATACTGTCCACTTCAGGGACCCAGAGGCCAGCTTTGAGTTTGGAGGAGCCCCGGAAGGTGCTGCCAAGGAGCAAGGCCTTCCTGCCAGTCCGAAGCTGGGCAGTGACTTGGTGCAGGCCTTTATCACAAAGCTGGAGTGCTTCGTCACCTCCAAAGTGGAGTCCCAGTTGTGCCTGGACGTCCAAAACCTGAAGGCATCAATGAGTGCTGACTTCTCTGCCATCCCGCAGGAGCTGCGGCAGATCCTGGTGAACTCCCAAGGATGTTTGCCCACCTGCTTGGAGGACATACTCAACGCCTGCGGTGCCTCCTCCATTGCCAAAAAGGGAAAGGACGAACACGGACTGCCCTTGTCCTACTCACAGTTGAAGCCCTATGCTCTAGAAGTGGCACGGACGCTGCTGAAGAACCTCAAGTGCTGCCTGGACACAGAGGTGGAGAAGATCCCCATGCCACCAGTCATCTTCTCGGAGAGCATCGCCGCTAGCCAGGTCGTCAGCATGGTTTTCACAATCATCGCTCCCCGTGAGTATGAGTGCGAAGAAGGGCTCCGGCGGGACATGCCATGTAAAGAGGCTGTGCTGGAGAAACTCCTCCGGAAGAATGCGGCCTACAAGAAGGAGCTTCAGCTCCAGATCCAGAACACAGTGGAAACGTTTTTGAACGAAATCTACCAGACTATCTTGTTGGATATGAAGAGCACCTCCTCAGCTGAGCCAGAAGGGACTCAAGTCTCCAAGGAGACAGACGACGGTGCCCCGCTTCCTCTTTCCAAACCCACAGTAATAAAGTCTGATGTTTCGGTGGTTTCTAATGACTTGGTGGACATTGTAGTCAAAGACCTGAGTTCGGGCCTGGCAACGGCTTTGCACAAAAAAGGCCCGCTTTCCACCCGGCTCCAGTCCCTCCTCTTTGAACTTGTTCAGAAGACCGTTGAGCCTTTTCAACACTTGACCAGCCGAGACACTAAGGCTGGACACAAGGGCCATTTTCTGGGCTCTGACATGCAGAAACACCAAATTCTGGGCCTGTTGAGAGGGAAGGATGACACCACACAGCTCCCTGAGCTGAAGGACATTTCCCCTCAAGGCATTGCCCAATTCTTGGTGGACAATATTGTTCTGAGGCTGGAGAGGTTTGCTCAGGAGAAACTAGACACAGAATTGGCGCAGGCCACTCAGCTGCAGCAGGAGAGGCCCGCCAGTTACCGCCAGCGAGCCAAACTGGCCATCCAGGACTCCCAGTCCAACATGAAGCTCTGTGCTGCAAAACTGACCTGCACCATCCTGAAAGTCATCCAGAAGGACCTGGAGCGGGAGATGCTCTCTTGCCAGAACATCCTCCCCTATGAGGAAAATGCCTCCGCCAACGAAATGGTCAATGACCTCCTCAAGATTTTGTCTGTCCAGATTGCCTTGACGGAGAACGAGGTCCACAAGAGGGTCCTGAAAAAGATTTTTAGGAGGCAGCGGCCTGGACAGAGAGGGAGGTGCCAGCTGCTGGCGAGGGTGGAGGACGTCCTCAATCAGGTGACCCAGAAGGTTATAGGGGACCTGGGGCACCTGCCGTCCTTCCACGATTCTTCATTCATCAGTTCAGACACCAAGTCCTCTCATTATCCTGGGTTGATGGAAGCAGGCCATGTGGCAAGTGACATTGTGGAAGGTGTCATGGGCAAGATGTACACGGTCGTGGTGGACACCCTCTTCAGCTCCGAGTCCAGTTCAAGCAGCGACAAGGGCCCACTCTCCACCGATCTCCAGAAGGTCACCCTGGCCGTGGCGCAGCTCCACCCGCCTCCACAGTCCTTGGGCGAAGAGCTGGTCCAGGGCGTCCTGAACAAAATTGCCTGCTTTGCTGCATCCAACCTGGAAGAGGTCCTCCCTTTTCCGGCACAATCAAGGAGGCGGATGCAGTACGACTTCCAAAGCGGTGATGGTGCTGTCGTATGCCGGCCGAGAGCCTTTGCCGATGACTCCGAGAGCTCGCTCATGAAGGTGAACTTGTCCAAGTCCGACTTGACCGCCTATGCCAAAGATGTGGTCGGCAAGGTGTTGGGAACTATCATCGAGGACTTCAAGATGGAGGACTACCACCGGACCATCCTGCGCGTTAACACTCTGTCCTCTGAACAGATCTCCATTGCAAGTGATTTTATCCACTCCGTCACCCAAGACCTCCATGTCTCCAAACACGGCAGAGGCCTCACTTCGACCCAGTTTGAGTTATACGTGAAAGGAAAGCACAAGTCCCTGTTTTACGAGGATTTCGCTTCTTTCCTTAAGCAAGTCCTTCCAAAGGAAGGCATTCTGAGGGAGATCTTTGAGCGTCAACCACTGACAGATGCCAACATAAACGAGACCCTGAAGATGTTGCAGGTGGCAGAGAACATAGTCAGTGAGGTGTTCATGAGGATCCGGGACCTGGAGTCCTCTGTGTGCATCCTTGAAAGGATCCCAGGTGAGCTCAGTGAGAGGTTGTTCTGCCATGGCTTCAAGCGGACCGAGGGCCCTGGTGGTGGACTCTTCCACAGTGACTCTCAAGCGGAGATCGGCTCGGTGGCGAGGGACATTGTTGCCAGCGTGTTTGAAAACGTGCACAAATGCCTAATCTGCAGTGTCCCTTCTCATCCTGAGAGGGAGTGTTTCCCCCCAAAGAAGGACCTGGCTGGGCTAAAAGGGCCCAACAGGTTCCTCAAACACCGCTTTACCCAGCCGGACTTTCCTTTCTACAATGTCTCGCTCAAAGGTGCCATAGATAATATCGACAAAATAGCGAAAGAAGCTGTTGATTGCGTTGTCCTAATGCTGGAGACGTTCTCCATCCGGCACTTCAGGCGGGACTTCAGATGCAATTTCTTGGAAATTGTGAATTTCCCCATCGACAGCCTCTCTTTTGCACAAATGACGCGCTCCCTAGACTCCCTCTCGGTGCCTGTGGGGAACGTGGCGGAGACCACTATGGAGGCTTTTCGGTGCAAGCTCCAAGGAGCTGTAGGAAGAGGGGAGCTGCCCACTTTGGGGTCCAACCCCAACTTCATGGACTTCTCCAAACTGGGGGGTGCCGTCACAAGGGAATGCATTGAGACAGCAATTCGGCAAGTGCAGGTCCTCCATGCGGAGCTGAACATCTACGCCAACAACGCTGTCAGCGGCATCCTTGAGATCATCAAGCACACCTTGGACCGGGAGCTGAGCAAGAAGGATGCTTCACTCTTCAGCAGCTCCTCTGACAGCCTAGTTCTGAGCGAGACCCTCAGCGTCATGCTGGATCGCTGCAACGAGAGTCTGACTGAGATCACTTCTGAGCTGATGGTGGAGAACCTCCAGCTGGAGATGTCTGGCCGAAGGTTCACAAAGGAGAAGAGCCTCATTCAGGACCTGGTGGCCCCACCCAGGGTCAAGACAAAGACCACGAAATACAGGAGGTTCGAGGCAAGGGACAGCTTTCCCCCCATCAATGTCCCAGGTATGGTGATCTATTCGGAGGAGGAAGCCGAAGTGCTGAACGAAGCTCCTCCCAACTTCCCTTCTGTGTACAAGGAGTCTGAGTGGGATGCTCGAGCCGCCGCACCAGAGAGATGTAGAGGGACGTCCCTCAGGTCGTCGCGTCCCCGGTCAAGGCCTCCGGCCAGGCGCAACAAGTTCAGACTTGACTTTCAGGAGGATGACTGGCTTCCCAAGGACAGGTACATCCCCGAGGGAAGCATTCTGGAAAAGCTCTTCAAGAAAGCAGATGAATCTGAACCGGGCTGCAGGCCCAGCAAGATGGGTCCAGAGGTCAAAGCCGATCCCTATTCCCAGGCTGACCCCTTCGGAAAAGGGCTTCCATTAAACATCCCAGAGAACGTTTGCTATTCGGCCGTCTGCCCAATGAAGCTTGGCCAGACCGCCGAAACCATCGTCAACACACTCCTCTGTGAGTTCGGGCTGGAAAACGAGAGTGGCGGTGACTGCTGCGGCGGCTGCTGCTGCAGGAAGGCCTGCCCTGCGCCCCAGCTGGGCTGCTCTGCATTTGCAGATCTGCAGAGGAAATGGCCCAGCCTGCTCAACCGCTGGGAGCAGAGGACCAGCGACTCCGGGGGCCACACCATGCTGGAGGGTAGCCTCCTTGTGCGCCAAGGGAGCAGCCTCCTGTCCAAGTGGGAGAGCAAGCACTGCCTCTTCCGCTCCAAGAGCCCCAAAGTGCAGAACCCCAAGGAGATGGAGCTGCTGGCCTGCTCCCATGTGCCGGATCCCAGCGAAGTCCAGATGCTGGCCAACCACATTGTCCTGAGTGTCATCAAGGAACTTATCTACTTCCAGCCCAAAGGTGAGCTCCGGGCCTTGAATTCTACAAATTGAAGATCATTCATTTGTAAGCAAAATATAGGGATTTCCTATCTAGGGAAAAGTAGTTTTTCTATCTACAGGAGCTTGATAGCCAATAACGCAGGGGTCCTCAAACTATGGCCTGGGGGCCGGATACGGCCCTCCAAGGTCATTTACCTGGCCCTCGCTCAAGGTCAACCTAAGTCTGACATGACTTGAAAGCACACAACAACAACAACAACAATCCTTTCTCATCAGCAAAAAGCAGGCCCACACTTCCCATTAAAATACCAATCAGTTTATATTTATTAAAATTGTTCTTCATTTTAATTATTGTATTGTTTTAAAGTGGGGTTTTTTTGCACTACAAATAAGATATGTGCAGTGTGCATAGGGATTTGTTCATGTTTTTTTCAAATTATAATCCGGCCCTCCAACAGTTTGAGGGACTGTGACCTGGCCCTCTGTTTAAAAGGTTTGAAGACCCCTGCAATAACGGATCCAAGCTGTAGCCCCAAAAAGTATCGTATTTCCCCATTTGCAAGATTCCATGAACTGTAAGGCACACCCTAATCCCAGTACTGCCACCAACAACAAAAATAATAAGACACAGACCTGTAATTCTAAGACATATATAAGATATCTAAGAGGAGAAAGGGTTTGGAGAAGTACAGCAACATTTTTGGTCTCTCTTCTGTCACCAGAAAAACTCCCATCCTTTTTTTTCTTTGATTTTTCAAAATTCTGTGTCATTGGCTGAAATGCAATGGAAGGAAGGGTCTCCTTCCTTTCCCAAAGGGGGAATCCCATTTGGTTGTCCTTTAGCTTATCCAGAAACATCCACATATCTGTGGCCTGGGCTTGCATGGCTTGCTGGACTGAGGATGAAAGATCAGAATCCAGGGGTAGATTCCTCCCACTTTCTGTTGTCTTACTCTCAGTTTTTCACAGTTGTTGGTAAGTCAGATGTTTGTAACACAGGGGTGACCTGTACGCTTCTACTATGTCCTGCCTCTGTTTGCAGGTGCCTCCGGGGCGAGGGTGCCGGCATGGAAGCAAGAACTGCAGCAGTCGGAGTCCAAGTGGCTGCAGGAGCGGATCTGGCACAGCACCTTCCTGCCTTCAGCCAAACGGCAGTCCTCCTGCCTGGAGGTCTTTTGGGAGCCGCTGACTCTGTCGGTGGTCACCAACGTGCTCCTGAGCATCTCCCACCCCAACACCCGGGCCAGTCCCCGGGGCAAGAGGAAGGGCTTCTTCGGCAGCCCCGTTTCCATGTTCTGCTCCGTGGAGAGCCCGACGGGGTCCCCTAAGAGCTGCCCCATCGACATCGAAGAGCTGGCCTTCCACCTCTCAGAGGCCATCGTGGGGCTGCTGTGTGAGCGGCATGTACTGCATGCGGGCATCAAGAAGAAAGGCTGCCGGGGCAAGAAGACCCGGTACATCTTCGTGCCACCACTCTGCCTCGCCGACTTCAATGACGTGTATGACCCGCTGGTCAAGGAGGTTGGCACCCTCCTCTCTTTGGAGATTGAGATGAGAAGCAGGTTCGGGGGCCGAGGGAAGCCGAGAGACCCCTTCCCACAGCCACGGGCCTTCATCTCTCCCGACGGGGCATCTCGGGGTGACTGCCGGGGCCCGAGAGATCTCAAAGGGGCCACCTGCTTGTATGACTTAGGGAGGATGGACCACAAGAGCCCACGGATGGACCACAAGAGTCCACGGATGGACCACAAGAGTCCACGGCTCAGCTGCGTGGCCGCCAATCTGGACCGCTTCATCCGTGGCCTGCAGAGCAGCGAGGCCAAGCACCTGGTCAACAAAGTCCTGCAGATCATCCTGGATGGCTTGTGGGAGGAGAAGTCTCCATCCCCGCCAAACGTGACGCCGTACCGAGAGGGAGCCCTGTCCCCAAAGAAATCCCTGGGCTGGTCCTCCCTGTGTCCACATGCTTCCCGGCTCAGCGAACACATGACAGGCGGACGCCTTGGCCTATCACCCAAATCAGTCGTCCTCCTGGACACTGTGAGCGAGAAGCTTATCCGAGCGCTCTTGGACAAGTGCCTCACGACAGAGCACTTCACAGGCGCCTTTGCCTTTGACGAGTTCCCTGAAGACGAGCACCTCTGCCACCTCCGGAAGTGCGTCAGCGATGAGGAGATCCTTCAGTATAACAAGAGAGAGGAGCAATCCTATGAGGTCGACCCCGACTCATCCTTCTTCACCTATGATGTTAGATACTCAGAGGAGCCATGTGTGGAAGCCCAGTCAAGCATCACCTCTTACGAATCAGCCCTCGACCTATTGGCCCACACGCTGGTCAAGCCGGTGGTGACAGAGCTCTCCCTCAACCTCAAGCCCCGTGGCTCCCTGGGGCATACCCACCAAAAGGCCACTTCTAGAAAGCTCCGTGGGCAAGCACCTGGCCAGAAGCACATACACTATGGGAGGGTCGATGGGTACTTCTCATTGCCTCGAGCAGGGAAGAAGCTGGAGCCAAGGGCCCACTGGCAAGGGAGGCGGCCAGGCCGGCGGGGCACCCGAGAGCACCGGGGTGGGACAATAGTGGAAGCTGACCTGAAACGCCGGACATTCACCTCCAGGCCGCCCATGCGCCCTGCTGGACGGCTGAAACCACAGACGACGATGAGGAAGCTCTACCGGAAAGAGGTGGCATCCATGAGCGGCCGCGGCGATCATAGCTCACACTCCCCAGCCTTCTCTGCTATCTATTCCTCCCTGTTTCTTGAAGAGGTCATTTCTCAGTTCTTGATCAAGGTCTTTTCTTCGCTTGAGACCCGCTACGACAAAGAGACCTGCATTGGCTTGAAGGAGATGAACATCTTGTTTGTGAACGCATTGGTGGAGGAGTTCAGGAGGGGCAAAGTCAGGGTCTTGCGGGGCTCCGAGGAGAAGACATACTTCCCCCAGCTGGACCGCCGGGCGGTCGACAAGCTCTCAGACTCCATTTTAGGTGAGTTTGGCTTCCAGTTGATGGCTGACAAAGGCTTCGGAAGGAGCGTGGAGGCCATGGCCGAGCGGGCAGCAGAGATTATACTGACCGAAGTCCTGGATTACCAGCTGCCTCCGCCAGTGTGCCGGAGACTGCCCCTGAGCTCCTGCAAAAGCCTGAAACCGCAGCATATCCTGCAGCGGATTGAGCTCTGCATCTGCTTCCCTAAAGCCCACAAGCAGAAGCCCCCTCATCCTCCTCCAGCTCCTCCTCCTTGTCCTCCTTTGCCGCCACCGCCGTATGTCACCATATTGTCCCAGAAGTACCTGGAGAAGGTGATCAACCGCCTCTTGACCCAGATCTTCCCAGCCCTTGAGGCGCCTCCCCCCAAGGAGCGAGAGAGGGGTCAGTTGTACAGAGAAGATTTCGAGGAGATCTGCTCTTACATGATCAAAGAAGTAATGCGGTCCATCTCAAAACACAAGATCTGGGTGTCCAAGAAGGACGATAAGTGCCACCTGCATTCTGAGAAGGAAGTCCAGAGCATGGTCGACTCTGTTTACAAAAACATGCTGAAAAAATCCGGCTCACAGCAGTCGATCCAGAAAGAGGTGAAGTCCCGCGATAGCGCTCTCCTCGACAGCATGGCAAGCTTCATCATCCAGGAAATCACGAAGCAGCATCTTCAGACATTCCTCTCTCAAGAGGAGCTCCCTTCACGGACCCCTGACCCTGAGGCCTTATCTGAGAACATTGTCAAGACGGTGTTGGACACTATCAGAGAGCCCTTGGTGGCCCGGGCTGAGGTTTTCTCAGCAAAGTTCCTAGAAGAGATCATTTCCAGAGTCCTGTCCAAAGTCTTCCACAGGAAGGAGACCACGAAAGGGCAACGGAAAATGGACATTGCCCATGTGGCAAAGCGGCTGGCCAATCAAATCAACTTGCGGTTTGGCCGGGCTGCTCCTGCACTGACCGAGGGGCCCAAAGGAGAGGATCAGGGCCTGGGGCCCCCCTTGACCGATGTCATGGACATTGTGGTTGACTCTGTTTGCGACAAAATATCGAAAGAGAAAGTGGAGGTCCCAGGAGGAGATCTTGTTTACGCAGGAGAAGGGGCCCTCATCGAAAACATCAAGAGGCTGGTGGAAAAATGCATTGCTGACTATTTCCTCCACCCACTGTTTTCCGGAGAGGCGTTCAATGTCTCGATTCCACCTCCGCCACGGTATGAGGACATAACCGGAGACATTGGGAACATGTCTGATGAAATGGAGAGGTCTCCGTTCAGTACCTTCCTATCCTCTGGTTTCCTGAAAGACTTGATTACCGGACTGTTATCCAAAATCTTCTCTTCTGCGTCTCCTTGGGAGAAACATCTCCCCTCAGAGTCGGACCTCAACAAGCTCGCCACCCAGTTGCTTGATGACATCCGGAGGAAGCTTCTGAAGCATGAAATCCGGGTGACCGGAGACGCCCTCCCAGGTCAGGGCCAATATTCCGAGGAAGACGTCCAGAATATGACCGATTCCCTGTGCAGTCAGATCATCCATAAGTCAGGGTCCCTTGAAGCTGTTCAGAGGGAGGTCCGGAACAAGAGCAATACCCTGATCGACTGGATTGCGGGCTTCCTGGTGGGGAATGTTCTCCAGCAACACGTCCAGCCTTTCGTGGCTGGGGACAAAGCTTCCTCATGGGATGCAGCTGCCGCAGGGGACTCGACGGGCCGGCTGGAGATTTACCGGACAAGGATCCAACCCCAGAATCTGAGACCAATCACCCAGGAGAAGTCGGGAGGGACATCTTCTGCGTCATCTTTCCTGGGAGATGTCCTCTCCGAACTGATCTCCAAGCTCTCCACATCACTAGTGGACCTCCCGCTTGGAGCCTCTGGGGACACGGCTGTGCGACTGGCTAAGTCACTCACCAAAGAGCTGGCCAAAGGCCAGTTCAGCCCTCAGGAGGGCTCTGAACGTCCGCTGGGATATGCTCCTCCTTCTCCTTTGGAAGGCAGAGACTTGGCCGATTGGCATCCACCAAGGAAGGAGCCGCAGGAAGGCTGGCCAATCAAAGAGCAGGCTGATGACAAACGAGACATTCTCCAGAAAAAGGCTGTTGCCATCTTTGGAGAAGCGGTGGACCATCTCATCCAGTCCACACGGCCCTCAAACGCAGTGGACGATAGGTGCCTCATTCAGGACAAAATGATGGAGGAGGTGGACAGCCCTGAGGTGAGGCCTCCTGCTGCCTATACCACTGTTATTTCATATCCGGTCTTAGAAGGGATCATTGAGGGGCTGGTCTCCCGGGTCTTCCCTGAGGAGGGACTTCGCAACTCTGACCAAGTTGCCCAGGCCAAGAGGGCCATTATGGAGATGGTTCTGAAGCAGGCCATCTGGGCCAGCACATATGGCAGCCCAAAGCCGGTGGGCTTTTCAGACGAAGCCGTGGAGCAGATGGTGGAATCTGTCTACTGTGATGTCCTGCACGAAGTCCTTCTTCGCCAGCCCTTTCCAGAGGACAAGGAGAGCCTCAGCAACCTATACGTCACACAGATCGCTTGCTTCATCCTCAACGAGATCTTCAAGTACCACCTCCAGTCCCTAGGTGTCGGAGGGCTGGCCTCTTACGAGGGGGAATCCTGCCTGACTGTCTTCCCTTGCCGGCTCTTGGAAAACATACTGAGCCAGCTCCTGGACAAGATCTTCCCCAATCCAGAGAGTATCACCAATTATGTTGGGACACAGATAGACTTCTCCGAGTCTGACTTTGTCGAGATGGCTGCCAGCCTGAAAAGCGATGTCGTTACAGAGATCTTGGCCCATGAGATCAAGCTGGAGAACCGCTCTGAGCGTAGCCCGGAGATGGACCGCGAAACCAAGGAGGACATTGCCAACTCTGTGTACAACCAGGTCTTGCAAAGGTACGCATCCCAGGGGGAGTTGCAGGATGCTCTTGCCCACCAGGCCAGCCACAGCATCGAAGAGGTCACCAATTCACTGGTGAGGGAAATTCTGAACTTCCATCTCCAACCGTTTCTAAGCAGCGGCGATTCATCCAATGCCGAATGCACCAAATGGCAGAAGGAGAGGCAGCTGTTTTCACGGCGCATCTACTCAGCCGCCTTCCTAGAGGACATTGTGGTGGCTTTCTTTTGCAAAATCCTGTCCTCCCCAAACATCTTGACTTACTCCAAAGAGGCCGACTTATCGGATACAGAGATGAGATGCCTGGTGATTGAACTGGTCAATGCTTTGGTGGCAGAATTTAAAATACTGCAGGTCAAAGTCTTCCAGAGCATGGAAGAGGATTCCTGCTTTCCACAGATAGCTCCTGAAACAGTGATTCAGGTCTGTGATTCCATTTATGAGAAGTTGCTAGAACTTTTGGGGTCAGAATGTGAGATTTTCAAAGCATTCCAGAGCAACATCCACATGTTAGCAGAAAAACTTGCCCCAATAATAGTGAGGGAGATCTCTGCATACCAACTGCTGCCTTTGTTTACCGGGGACACATCTCCATACCTCTTCTCCTTCCTGGAGGCCGAGACCATCCTGGACCGAGTGGAAACCATCCTGCCAGAAGCTGCGTCTCCTCATTCAGTCTTTGGAGACATGTTCGTCAAGATCTTACGCCGGATCTTCCCATCGTCAGCACCCATGGGTGCTTCGTCACAGGTGGCTATGAAGGAGGGTGTGGGTTCAGAGGCCAAAGGAAGCATGCAGAGCCTGATGGAGAACATCTATAAAACGGTCTGCAAAAAAGTGGGGTCTCCAGACAAAAAGCAAGAAAGCACCAAAGAGGAGTTAGCGGGATTCCTGAGACAAACCAGGCAGGACGACCGGCCCTGCTCTCCCCCCACCCAGCCTCATCCTTCCTCCAGCATTCTTGCCCAGTCGGGCAACTGGACCATCCACCATGTCAAACTTGGGGAAGGAGAGCCCCGGCCAATGCAGGCCGAGGATGGAGGAGACGTCTACTCGTCTTCTTTCTTGAAGGACATCTTCAGCGGACTGGTCAGCAAGCTTCTTTCATCAACTGGCCCGGAAACGAGAGGGACTGAAGCGGAGTCTCCACTCAGGAACTTAATGGAGTCCATCCTGAAGGAATTTGCAAAATCGCCAGTAAAGGTCCTGCAGGTCCCAGAAGCAGGGCAGCCACATCCGGCCGTAGGGAAGACGGAAGTAGCCAAAATAATCCACTCTTCCTTGTGCAACATTCTTCAAGATCAGGGGTCCAGCGGTGCACTGTTTGGGAGAGACCAGCAAAGCCAGCATGCCTTGGCTGAGCGCTTGGCCAGTGCCATAAAGAAGGAAATCTTAGGTTACCAGATCCAGGTGGGACCAGGTATGGCTTCCCAGGAGCCGGCCTCAAAGCCATTTGAATTTGGAGAGATGGCAAAAAAAGTGTGGATGGAGGTGAAGAAGATCAGCACGCCTTCGCCACCCAAGTCTCAGCCATCATCGCTCCTGGTGTCCCAAAGGTTTATCCATGACGTCCTTGGGTTCCTCTTGTCCAAAATCCTCCCTCTGCCCACAGAAGACACAACTAGTCCAGACACCCAAGAGCGGTGCGATGAATTCGACTTCATCCACATGAAGCTCCTGAGCAAAGTGATGGATGACTTGGCCAAGGACAAGAACACGGAGGTCCAGTACCTTGACCCAGTGCAGCCCAATCGTGTCGTGAGTCAAACCGTGGCCAATTCCGTTTACAACAACCTCATGCCCGAATTTGGGTCCACCTCCACGGTCCAGAAGTGCATCAGAGCCGGGTGCAGCATCCTCTTGGAGAGGATTGCCGACATCATGATCAAGGAGATTTCTGGGAGTAAGATGCAATCATATTTTTCGGAGGAGCGGAACCGCCAGCAGGAGGTCATGGAGGCAGAGAGAGAGATGGAGCAACGGTATGGAGACAGTCCAGAGCACCAATACGGAGACAGCTTGGAGCCCAAAGAGGGTGGGACCCAGCTGCGCTCCCACCTCAAAGGGTTGTCCATCCTCATTTTAGAGGAGGTGGCTGCCAAATTCCTCTCCAAAATGGTCCTCTCCCTTTCCTCAGAGGAGATGGACGAGACCATTCTTGAGTCGGTGAAGGAGGTGGCCAGGAAAATTGTGGGCTCCTTACAAAGACGCATCGAGAAGAACAAGCTCCAAGTCTGGCAGAACGAGGAGGAGGAGGACTTGGGCTCAGAGGAGAGCCAAGCGGTCGGGGAAGTGGTGGACTCAGTTTACATGGACATCATGAAGCAGTCCGGCTCAGAGGCTTCTCTGTATGAAGACCTGACCAACAAGAGCGAGGACCTGGTCAACCGAGTGGCTTGCTTCATGGTCAGCGAAATCTCCCGGCGGGACTTCCCTTCGGGCTCTATGTCAGAGGAAGAGATTCTCCGCTCCAGCACTGATATCAAGCTGAAGTCGGACAAGATCATCCAGAAATTCCTGGACGACATCAAGATGGAGAAAGACAAGAAGGAGACCACCGGAGTGCCCGGTCCAGTGGTGCCCGTGGCTTTCCTGGAGGAGATTCTCAGCCGCTTCCTGACCACCATTTTTCTTGAACAGTGCGACCTGGGCATCCATGAGAAGAACCTGTCCAAAACGGAGGTGAATAAAATAGCCAGCCTTCTGAAGACCTCTGTGGAGAAAATGATCTCAAAGAACAACATCGGGCTGTTGGCTTCCTCCGAGGACCAGCCCACACTAGACCCGCGGTATGAGGCAGCAGTCAACAAGGTGGTCCACTCCGTCATCAGCAACGTCATGGAGAAGTCCGGCTCCCAGCAGGAGCTCTACAAAGACATGACCACCAGCCAGGTCATCTTCCCCGAGCAGGTGGCCAGCATCATTATCAACGAGATCTCTAGCTGCAACATCAGAAACCCGCCGAACGAGAATGGCGAAAGCGAGACCTGCAGTGCCTTAGCGCTGGACCGCATTGTCAGCAAGGTCATCGCCCAGGTCAGTTCCCACATGGAGCCCCAGGGGGATGATGACACGATGGCTGCCCTGACAGAGATGCCTGAGGTGACGGCCCCCGAGGCTACGATGCCCGAGGAGACCGCCCAAGAGGCCCTGCTCCAAGGCGAGGAGATGCCCGTCAAGATCGTCCCCTGTATTGGCCACAAGCCCATCCGGATCGATCCAGGCATAATCTCGGATCACCTGGCTGTGCTGTCCATCAAGACTGAGCCCCTGGAGAAGCTAAAGAAAGCTTGCCTCTCCAGGATTGGCATCAGCTTGACTGAGCTTCGGCGAGCCTCGGCCTCCGGCAAAAGCATCACACAACACGACCTGGGCATCCCAGAGGTCTCCGAGGCCCAGAGGAAGAAGGAGAGGAGACCCTCCCTGGACATGGCTGGCCGCCTCGGGGTCCGGCCCAAGGAGGTAGGTGGTCTGGGGTGAGCAGAGGGAGGGTCCACTGTCTCAGACCTGTTCCCTCCTTAGAACCCAAAGGTGGAGAGGAATGTCCAAAAGGTTGAGGAATCCCATTCCAAAAACACAATTTGTTACTATTGGGGACTTTCTGGAAAGTGGTGGAAGGGAGCTAGGTGGACAATTTGGCCAATGCACATGCAAGACCTTGTGTAGCCAAGGTGGGAAGAGAATAGAGGCAGGATTCAGAGAAACTCAGAGGCCAAACAGAGGCCATAACAGCCCTGAAGTCTTCCAGTTATGTTTGTCATTCGTTCTACAGTATTCATTGGCACTGAATGCAGATTGTTGCATTCCCACAAGCAAGCAAAATATAGCTGAGTACTCGCAAAGAATCACGTACATAACAGACAGATACTCACACTGAGTCACACAGGAGAGAGCCAGATGGATCCTTTCATTCTCTTTAAATGAAAGGATATATGCTGATAGGGACACTGGCTGATGCCTTCCCTTTGCAATAACCCTCACATGGTTATGACTCAGCCATTTTTCTTATTTATTTATTAATTATTTATGGAATTTATTATTCCATAAATAAATAAATAACCACACCCAGTCATTACCCAGTGCTTTCAATAATCGTCGAGCAGTATTTTTATAAGACTAGAGGTGCTGTACCATTTCTATGTAACGTTGGACACAGTGGGCTGTGTTGTCCCAGGCGGTCTGCAGGAACTCGTTCCAAAGCCTTATCATGCCGGACATCAGGAAGGTCGAGCTGTTGAAGGATGTGGAGAGCAAGCAGGACCTCATTGTGCGCCTTGTGGCGCACGACATCGACGAGGATCAGGTCCACCGCAGCTGGGGAGATGAGAGCGACACCGACGAGGATGAACAAGTCCTGTCGGAGCAACGGTCCTTCTACTTTGAGGTCCCTCCCATGACCCCGCGGGGCACCAGCGTGGATTCCTCCGCAGTAAGCGTTCCTGATAGGACTGGCCTTGTCCTTGTGCCCAATGGGGCGGGGGTCATCCTTGGTCTTATGTCTCAGGATAGGACGGACCCTGTTCTTTTTGACTCTGTCCTCGTCCTAATAGTAGCGTCCTGCTCTTGTGCTACACAGTGGGGCCAGTTCTATTCTTATGCCTAGCGGTATGGCCAGCCCTGTTCTTGTGTCTAACAGTAGGACTGGCCCTGTGTTAACAGGAGGTACCTTTTCTTGAGCTTAATGGTGTGGCTGGGCCTGTTCTTGAGGCTAAGAGGAGGGCCAGCTCTACCATTAGGCATAAGAACAGGGACGGCCCTACTGTTAAGACACAAGAACAGAGCTCTACCATTAATAGGCATAAAGGGACCACGATAGGTGGCTCTGCGATGCCACTACCCCATTTTATTACACTTCTTCCATCCCTTTGGCATTTTCCTGCCCGTTCCAATGTCAAACCCACCCTTCCTTCTTTCCTTCCTTCTTTCCTCTCTTTCTCCCTCCTTTTCTGTCTTCCATCCACATTCCCTTCCTTCCATCCTTTCTTTCTCTCTTTCATGTTCTGAGAGATTCCTTCCTTCCTTTTCTTTCTCCTTCCTTCCTTCCTCTTTCTCCCTCACTTCCTTCCTGCCTTCCATCCTCATTCCCTTCCTTCCATCCTATCTTCCTTTCTCTCTTTCACACTGTAAGGGGCTCCTTCCTTCCTTCTTTTACTCTCCTTCCTTCCTTCCTTCCTTCCTTCCTTCTTTCTCCCTCCCTCCCTTCTTTCCCTTCACACTTCCTTCTTTCCCTCTTTCCTCCCTCCCTCCTTCCTTCTCTCTCTCTTCCTTCCTTCCTTCCTTCCTTCCTTCCTTCCTTCCTTCCTTCCTTCCTCTCTTTCTCGGCCTTGGAGACTCCTTCCTGCCTTCCTTCCTTCCTTCCTTCCTTCCTTCCTTCCTTCCTTCCTCTCTTTCTCCCTCCTTCCCTCACTTCCTTCCTGCCTTCCATCCTCATTCCCTACCTTCCATCCTATCTTTCTTTCTCTCTTTCATGTTCTGAGAGATTCCTTCCTTCCTTTTCTTTCTCCTTCCTTCCTTCCTCTTTCTCCCTCACTTCCTTCCTGTCTTCCATCCTCATTCCCTTCCTTCCATCCTATCTTCCTTTCTCTCTTTCATGCTCTGAGGGACTCCTTCCTTTTCTTTCTCCTTCCTTCCTTTCCTCCCCTCCCTCCCTCTTTTCCTTCCTTCCTCTCTTTTCTCTCTCCCCCCCTTCCTTCCTTCTTCCTCCTTCCCTTCCTTCCTTCCTTCTTCCTTTCTCTCTCTCTTCCTTTCCTTTTCTTTCTCCTTCCTTCCCTTCCTTCCTTCCTTCCTTCCTTCCTTCCTTCCTTCCTTCCTTCCTTCCTTCCTTCCTTTTCTCTTTCACCCTATAAGGGATTCCTTCTTTCCTGTTCTCTCTCTCTCGTTCCAACCTTCTTTCCTTTCTCTTTCACATTCTCAGGGTTCCTTCCATTTATTTCCTTCTTCGCTTCTGTTCTTCTTTCCTTCCTCTTTCACGCACTAAGGGGCTCCTTCCTTTCTCTTCATCCTTCCTTCTATCCTTCTGCTTTCTCTTTTTCCTCTTTTTTCCTTCCTTTTCTCTCTCCTTCCTTTCCTTCCTTCCTTCCTTCCTTCCTTTCCTTCCTTCCTTCCTTCCTTTCTCTGACGCTCTGAGGTGTAGTGTCTTTCCGTCATCCTTCCTCTCTTTTATGCTCCTTCATTCCTTCCTTCCTCTCTTTCTCTTTGATGCTCTGAGGGGTTCCGTCTTTTCTTAATCCCTTCCTCTCTTTCACGCTCCTTCCTTCCTTCATCTCTTTCTCTTTCACATTCTGAGGGTTCCTTCCTTTGTCTTCTTCCCTTCTGTTCTTCCTTCCTCTTTCACGCACTAAGGGGCTCCTTCCTTTTTCTTCTCTCTTCGTCCTTCCTTCTATCCTTCTGCTTTCTCTTTCGCTCTGAGGGGCTTTTTCCTTCCTTCCTTCCTTTCTCTGATGCTCAGAGGTGTTCAGTCTTTCCTTCATCCCTTCCTCTCTTTTACGCTCCTTCATTCCTTCCTTCTTTTCTCTTTGATACTCTGAGGGGTTCCGTCTTTTCTTAATCCCTTCCTCTCTTTCTCGCTCCTTCCTTCCTTTTTCCTTCCTCTTTCACACTCTAAGAGGCTCCTTCCTTCCTTTTCTCTCTCTCTCTCTCTCTCTCTCCTTCCTTCCTTCTTGCCTCTCTTCCTCTTTCACGCTCTGAGGGGCTCCGTTTTTCCTCCCGAAGCAGGCCGCACCAGTTGAGCCCCCCTCGGCAAAGACACCCCTCATCGGCATCCTCAGGAAGAGTTCCTGGGAAGCTGCTCCCGAGGCTGCCAAGGAGGCAAAAGAGGTCCCCGAGACAGAGGCCGTCCCACAGTCGGTGTCCAGCACCCATGAGGTGAGCCCCTTCCGCCGACCCCTCCTGTCTCTCCTTGTATCCCAGGCAGGACCACCTCTCTACTTAAACACCATCACAGTCCTGCTCTTCCTATCTCCTGACTCATTAATTTTGTCACCTGGCAAATTGTCTTCTGAACACCCTTCCCTAGAGAAAAACTGCCCTGGGCCCCTCTCAGGAATTTGGCCTTCATCTGCAGGAACACAACTCTCACTTTCTGGACTTAAAATCTTAGGCTGACTCACAAGTTCATCATCCCCATTGAGATTAGGTACAACATTAACACTCCTCCCACCATCGAGGAGAGCTTGGGGGACATGGAACGGATGGGTAAGTTGTCTCCAAGTTACAGACATCCGACTTACCAAGGACTCACAGTTATGAACAATGGGACTGAGACAACAAGAAAAGAGAAGTTTTCCCCTTGCAAGGCAGGGAAAGCCACTTCTGGAAGAGATATTGTTGGGTGTGTGTATGTGGGGGGAGGGGGGACATACGAATAAACAAATCAGCAAAAGTTAAAACTATGGAAGTGAACCGTGGTGGTTGTATTGATACGCTCTAATCAAACTGATCGATCCTTCTTCTCTTAGCCCCATTTGCTCCGCTCTGCCTCCCTGCAAACCAGTTTGACCTCCAAACCATCCGAGTTGACGATCCCAAGGTAATGATGTATGGGATGTGTCAGACCTTTGGGGAGGGGGTGGGGCACACAAGGCGACACTGCTGCATTTTCACCTGGACTGCCTTTCCCATTTCCTTTCCAGCCAACAAGAATCGCTGGAGAAAGGTGAGCGTAAGACCATGCCCCCCTACCCCAGCCCTATATATCCATGCCCCCCTACCCCAAACCCATATATTACACCTGCAAGGTATTCCTACCTTGGCTCACTGCATCACCCCGTCTTGCTTGCAGTGGCGGTAGACATGCACCTCACCCGGGACACCGAAGAGAGCGGCCCTGTGGAGGTAAGGGGCCCAAGGAAGGGATGGGAGGAGGCCTAAGTGGGCCACAAACTACGGCCCGTGGGACACATGCGGCCCACCAAAGCCAGTTATCCCTGCCACCACAACCCCCTTCGCACTGCCCTTGCTGCACCCACCACCGTGGAAGGAGCAAGCAAGGAAGGAAGAAAGAACGAAACAGAAAGAGGAAGACAGGGGAGGAGGAGGGAGAACCAGGGAAAGAAAGGATGGAGGCACGGATGGAAGGGAAGAAGGAAAGGAAAGACAGAAAAAAGGAAGGAAGGGGAGAGAAAAGGAAGCAAGGAAGGGAGGAGGGACAAAGAGGGAAAGAAAGGAAAGAAGGAAGGATGCAAGGATGGAAGGAAGGAGAGAGAAAAGGAAAGAAGGGATGGAAGGAGGGATGAGGCAAATACATCAGGAAGGAAGAAACAATTGGAATGCAGGAGGAAGATAGGGAGGGAGAAAGAGGGAGAGGAAGGAAGGGGAAGACAGGAAGAGAGAATGAAGCAAAGAAAGAAAGGAGGGAAGGAAGGAAGGGAATTAAGGAGGAAGACAAGAAGGGTGGAGGGAGAAAGAGGAAAACGAAGGAAGGGTGGAAGGAGAGAGAAAGGGAAGGGAACCAAGGAGGAAGACAGGAAGGGAAGGAAAGGGAAAGGAAGGAGGCAAGGATGGAAGAAAGGAGAGAGAAAAGAACGGAAGAAAAGGTGGAAGGACAAAACAAAGGGAATGAGTGACTGAGAGATGGAGGGGGAAAGAGGGCAGAAAGGAAGGAAGGAAGGAGAGAAAGAAAAAAGGAGGAAGGAAGGGAGAGAGGGACGGAATGAGGGAGCAAAACAGGAAGGAAAGAGAGGGGAAAAATAATGGATGGATGGATGGATGGAGGAGGAGGAAGGAAGGAAGGAAGGAGAGAAGGAAAGGAAGGAAAAAGAAGGGAAGAGAGGGAGAGGGGAGGAAGGAAGGAAGGAGAGAGGGAAAGGAAGGAAGGAAGGAAGGAAGAAGGAAGGAAGGAAGGAGGAGAAAGAAAGAGGAAGGAAAAAGAAGGAAAGGAAGGAAGGAAGGAAGGAAGGAAGGAAGGAAGGAAGGAAGGAAGGAGGGGCGAGGGAGGGGGGGAGGGAGGGAGGGAGGAAGGCAGGCAGGCAAGTAGGCTGGAATAAAAGAAATAAAGGGAATGAGGAGGAAGAGGACGGAGGAGGAAGGAAGGAAGGAAGGAAGAAGGAAGGAAGAGAGAGGAAAGGGAGGGAGAGAGGGAAAAAAGGAAAAAAAGGAAAGGAAGGAAGGAAGGAAGAAGAGGAAGGAAGGAAGGAGAAAAAAGGAAGAAAGAAGGAAGAAGAAAGAAAGGGAAGGAGGAAGAAGGAGGGAAGGGGAAAAGGGAGGGAGGGAGGGAGGGAGGAGGGGAGGGGAAAGGAAGGAAGGAAGGAAGAAGAAGGAGAAGGAAGGAAGGAAGGAGAGAGGGAAGGGGGGAGGGAGGGAGGGAAGGAAGGAAGGAAGAGAAAGAAAAGGAAGAAAAGGAGGAAGAAGAAAGGGAAGAGGAGGAAGGAAGGGAAGGAAGGAGGGAGGGAGGGAAGGAGGGAGGGAGGGAGGGAGGGAGGGAGAGAAAGGAGGAAGGAAGGAAGAAGAAGAGAAAGAGGAAGAAGGGAGGGAGGGAGGGAGGGAAGGAAGGAAGGAAGGAAGGAAGGAAGGAAGGAAGGAAGGAAGGAAGGAAGGAGGGAGGGAGGGAGGGAGGGAGGCAGGCAGGCAGGCAGGCAGGCAGGCAGGCAGGCAGGCAGGCAAGTAGGCTGTAGTCATGTCCCCCTCTCTCAGCCTGAGATGCAGACAAAGGCAAATCCTCTTTAAATATATCTTGACAAGAAAACTCCATGATAAGAGAGTTTTGACTTGAAGGCCCACAACAACAACAACAACAACACTAATGAACTTGACTTTCTCATCAGCCAAAAGCAGGCCCACACTTCCCACTGAAACATTGGTATGTTTATGTTGCTTAAAGTTGTTTGTCGTTTTGAATATTGTATTATTTCATGTATTGTCTTCACTGGCTCTTGGCTTGAAAAGTTTGGGGACGCCTGATCTACAGAATCCCCTTTACTGTTGGACTGGGACCAGCCCTACAGGTCAAGGGGGGCTCCAGGTTACAGCGTTACGCCTGCCTTTAGCGGCCTTTCCTCCTCCTCCTCCTCTAGATCACCTCCGTCTACCAGGACCATAAGATGAAGGACTCCATCTCTGAAGAGCACTCAGGTATCTCCCCTCTTTGCCTGCCTTTTCACACCTGAGAACTGGGGGTCAGAGGGGGGGGGGGAGGAAATTACTTTGGAAGACCCCCAGCATTTGGTCATAGAGAGCCCATCCCCATAAGTTGCAAGGTATTCCTTTTTTTACCTTTTGCAGAAGAGGTTTGCAATGGTTCTGTTGGGGTGGCGATTAGGCTTGAGCATGGTTTCGGATTAGATCGGAATTTGTATCTGATTCGTTAAATTCCGAGTTCCGAGGTTGCTTTAACAATCTTATTCCTTTGGCCCCATCTTTGCCGGCGCTGTAGTTTGTGAAGGCCAGGCCCCTAATGGTTGAGATTGCCAATGGCCCTGCATGAAACTACATTTCCCAGAATGCCTCGGGAGGAGAATGCACCAATCAGGAGAGGAGAGAGAAAACTACCTCTCTCTCTCTAAACAGTTTGCTTTTCTGAAAACTTTTAAAAAATTCCTTTAAATCAGTTGATATATTAGTATTTCTGAAAGTTGGGGGGAATGATCCTTTATTATCTTGTGTCATTGGAGAGAAAATTCAAGGAGATCACTCTTGTCGTTTTTTTAAAAAAAATGTTGGTTTGAAAAACTTTTACAAATTGCAAAAAAAATCCAATTGTTTCATGCAAATTATTTATTTACAGTATTTATATACCGCTTTCTCACTCCTAGGGGGACTCAAAGCGGTTCCACGCCAATGGAGAGTGAAAGGAACACTGGGATGCCTCCAAAATGTCCAAGCCAATTCCCCTCAGAACTCACCAGTATTCCAATTTGGGCACATTGGGTATACATGCCAAGTTTGGTCCAGCTCCATCATTATTTGGGTTCATAGTACGCTCTGGATGTAGGTGAACTACAACTCCTCTAAATCCCTCCAAAGACCTCCAGTATGTTTTGTTCGTCATGGGGGTTCTGTGTGCAAAATGAGTTCCAGGTCCATTGTTGGTGGAGTTCAGAGTGCAGTTCTTAGATTGCAGGTGAACTATACATCCCAAGACCTACACCAATGGCTTGGACATTTTGGAGGCATCCCAGTGTTCCTTTCTCTCTCCATTGGTGAACTCTCCCCAAACCTCTGTAGTATGTTCAGTTGCGGATCACTTCCTCTGTTTGCTGTGTGCAAATAGAAAAGAGTAGGAAAGGGTTAAGGGAGAGGCAGTGGGTGGGGGGGGGGTCATGCAAATTCCACACCAGTGGAGAGAGTAAGGAACACTGGGATGCCTGTAAAAAAAATCTAGGATGAAATTGTCCCTTGACTTGGGTGGTGGGCAGTGTGGTGTTGGTGGAGGAAATTGACAAGGCACTTGGATATGTTTATGGCGCTCACTATAACCTGGAGGAAGGGCCATTGGTGTCTCCTGAGTAGTGGGAGGTATAGTTGTTTGCGGAAGCAGGTTGTGAATACCCCAGCTACATACACATACATATTTTGACTCATATTATGTGTATAGATTATTATCATTCAGGTGATTCGGGGGAGGGAGGGGTCCAGTCACGGGGAGGGAGGGATTTGGGGCTGAGATGCTTCTTCACCCCCAAAAGCCCCACGTCTTCTACCTCCTCCTGCAGAAGCTGAGGACGGAAAGGTGCTGGCGGTCACCAGCTCGGACACGGGAGCCGCCCCCCTCCAGCAGCGCCCCTCYGTCTTTGAAAAGGTCTCCAGCGCCTTGTCCCGGGTCTTCTCCCGCACTTCGGCCACCAACGCCTCCCCGTCCACCTCTGGCCAGGATAAGACCATYGCTGCCGTCGCCTCTGCTGCCACCGGTGGGGAATAACCACAGCCCCCCTCGCCCCCCCCAATTTCTTCTGCTTTGTATTAGCCGAGAAAAATAAATATTTTTCTTCAGAAATTGCAGCTCTGCCACTCCATGGTACACTATCTCTCTCCTTTCGATGGAGCAGAGCACAACGGGTGAACGGCGTCTCTGTCTGTCACAATTTGAGAATTATTAGATTGAGTCTTCGATAGGAATATTCTGCTGTTGATTAATAATAGACGTCTTAGACTCATAGAGTTGGAAGAGACATGGTGGGCCATCCAGTCCAACCCCATTCTGCCAAAAGCAGGAAAAACACAGCCTTATCTTCTCTCCTTCAGGCTAAACATGCCCAGCTCCTTAAGCCGCTCCTCATAGGGCTTGTTCTCCAGACCCTTGATCATTTTAGTCGCCATCCATGGAATATGTTGACTCCATCTCAGTTTCCTGGCCAGATGTTGACTCTTCATGATTGGCGTTAGTTCCTATCACAGTTTACCATTTCAGTTCTCATTAGCAGGTTTTAATTACAGTCCAGCAAACAGGGAGTCATTGCAGGCTGTAATCTCTTAGAATGGTGTCTCCAAAATTATTAGCTCTCATTACTTCATCTTTCATTCAGTTCATTCATACCCACACATATCAAATCCACATTTATTTATTACTAGCTGTCCCCTGCCACGCGTTGCTGTGGCCCAGTCTGTGTATATGTGTGTTTGCATGTATATATGTAGTTTTGCGTGTGCATTGTAATGTATTTTTTGGCTTTTGGCTTTTAAAGTCTCTTCCACTGTGTTTTCAATGTTTTAATGAGTGATGGTCACTCGTTGGCCTGATTGTGTCCAAATTTGGTGTCATTTCATCCAGTGGTTTTTGAGTTTTGTTAATCCCACAAACGAACATTACATTTATCTATATAAATAAAAATGTAATGTTCATTTGTGGTATTAACAGAACTCAAAAACCACTGGACGAATTGATACTAAATTTGGACACAAGACACCTCACAACCCAATATGTGTTCTTCACTCAAAAAAACAACGGAAAAAAAAAGCAGAAAGGACTTCTAAACTGCATGCCCACAAAGGAGAAACTGCATGTCCACAAAGAGACCCATGGCCACAGCCCCCTCCTGGGGAAACAGCTGGCCATTAAAGCCAGGCGCATGTGCACGGCCACACACACACCCAAGCGAGGAGGTGGAGGCTTGCCGCATGGAGCCCCTTCTCTTTCCCTGCTATGTCAGGAGCGCGGTCTCCTCCTCCTCCTTTCCCTGTTGGAAGAGGAAGGGGCGGATGAGTGGCAGCGGCAGAAGCGGAGCCCCCAGGCAAGGAAGAAGGGGAGGAGGAGGAGGAGGAGGAGGAGGCGAGGAAGATCGACAGTGCTTGAGTGAAGGACCTTCCTTCTCTCCCTCACTCCCTTCCCTTCTTTTCTCCCTTTCCTTCCTTCCTTCCATGCATGTTGGTCTCCTTCCTGCCTGCCTGCCTGCCTGCCTGCCTGCCTGCCTGCCTGCCTGCCTGCCTGCCTTCCTTCCTTCCTTCCTTCCTTCCTTCCTTCCTTCCTTCCTTCCTTCCTTCCTTCCTTCCTTCCTCCTTCCTTCCCTTCTTTCCCTCCTTCCCTTTCTTCCTGTCCCTCCTTCCTTCTTCCTTCCTTTCCTTCTTTTCCTTCCTTCCTCCCTCCCTTTTCTCCTTCTTTCCCTTTATTTCCTTTCTTCATTTCCTTTCCCTCCCTCCTTTCTTTTCCCCTCCTTTCTTTTCTTTCTTTTTCTTCTTTTCTTTTCTTTCTTTTTTTTCTTTTTCTTTCTTTCTCTTTCTTTCTTTCCTTCCTTCCTTCCTCTCCTTCCTCCTCTTCCTTTCCTTCCTTCCTTCCTCCTTCCTCTCCCTCCTTTCCTTTTCCTCCTCCTTCCTCCCTTTCCTCCTTCTTTTCCCCTTTTCTTCTTTCCTTCCCCTTCCTCTTATTTCCTTCTCCTTTTTCTCTTCCCCTCCTTTTCTTTTTCCTCCCTCCTCCTCCCTCCCCTCCCTTCCCTCCTTCCCTTCCCTTCCTTCTTCCTTCCCTTCCCTTCCTTCCCTTCCTTCCTTCTTCCTTCCTTCTTTTCTTCCCTTCCTTCCTTCCTTCCTTCCTTCCTTCCTTCCCTCCTTCCTTTCCTTCTTCCTTTCCTTCTTTCTATGTAAGATATAAATACAATCTTAAATGGAAGGGACAGTCAAGAGGAGGGAAAGAGGAAAGGAATGAAGGAGGGAAAGGGGAAAGGAAGGAGAGAAGGAGGGAGGGACTGACTGGTCGTGTCAGGAGCAACCGCTCCTGTTGTGAGAGAATTGGCCGTCTGCAAGGACGTTGCCCAGGAGATGCCTGGATGATTTTTGATGTTTTATCATCGTCGTGGGAGGCTTCTCTCATGTCCCCGCATGAGGAGCTGGAGCTGATAGAGGGAGCTCATCCGCCTCTCCCCGGATTCGAACCTGCGACCTGTCGGTCTTCAGTCCTGCCGGCACAGGGGTTTAACCCACTGCGCCACCGGGGGCTCCTAGGAGGGCTGCTGAGGAACAGAAAGTTAGAGAAGCAAGGAGAGAAGGAAATAAAAAAATGAAAGGAAAAAGAGAGGGAAGAAAGGAGAGAAGGAAGGAGAGAAGGAAGGAAAGAGCAAAGAAAGGGAGGAAAGAAACAGGTAGAGATGGAAGAAAGAAGAGAAATATGGAAAGAAAAAGAGGGAAGGAAGGAAAGAGGGAAGGAAGAGAAAGAGGGAGGGAAGGTGGGCCACAGCAACGCGTGGCGGGTTCAGCTAGTATTTATATAGATTTATTTGCAGTATTTATATACCGCCTTTCTCACCCTTGGGGGGGGGACTCAAAGTGGTATATCAGATCTGCACAGAATAACTCTTGTGACACAGCCCCAAAGGACACACTACACACACAGAGTCGCTTGTGCCAAAGGCTATGTATTTCTGTGCCAAGGTCTGACACCTCCCTGTTGTCTACTATTTCTCTGCCGCCTGAAGAACCAGCAAAGGAGGCCCGGGCTCCTCCGGTGGGAAGAAGCCTGTGTTGCCAGGGACTGGCACTCCAAGCACCACGAATGGACCTCCTCTACGGCTGCGGTCAGCACTGGGCCAAGGCCGGAGTCATTGGTCAAGGCTTGGAGGGCTGCAGGAGGCAAGGAAAGGCAATGGGGGCGCAGCCAAGGAATCCTAGCATCTCCCAAAGGCAACATCCAAACCCTCTTATCTTTTTCCATCTCCGACATCTGGAGGCTGTGCTCGACTCTGGCCACTGGGGGTGCTGTTGTTCCATCTGCCATGCCGAGGAGCTTTGCTGTCCTTAGACGTTCTCCCAGTCTGAATGGGTCCCTTTTATTACCTCCCCGCCAAAGTGGTACCTTTTTGTCTACTCACATTGCTGTTTTAGAACTGCTAGGTGAGCAGAAGCTGGGCTGACGGTTGGGACCTCGCCCCAACCTGGGCTTGAACTGTTGACCTTTCGATCAGCAGGATTTTTTGCAGCTGGTGGTTTAACCCAGCCAAAGATAGACAGCCATAGATATATAATAAGTAGGCCTGTTCAATGCATGCTTCTAAATGGTTCTAAAGTAAACTAAAGTTCTGGTGGTGAAAATTTCAGAACTCTTTCAAAATTTAATTATTATTTCATTATTGAACATTAGGAAGAACTTCTTGACTGTGAGAGCCGTTCAGCAGTGGAACTCTCTGCCTCGGAGTGTGGTGGAGGCTCCTTCTTTGGAAGCTTTTAAACAGAGGCTGGATGGCCATCTGTCAGGGGTGCTTTGAATGCAATATTCCTGCTTCTTGGCAGAATGGGGTTGGACTGGATGGCCCAGGAGGTCTCTTCCAACTCTATGATTCTATTGGCGATTTTTATGACAGAACAATTAGGAACTGCCATTTATAATGGCATTTTGAGAGTTTTGTTAGAGTTCTGAAATTTTCACCACCAGAACTTTAGTTTTGTAAGTACTTTAGAACCATTTAGAACCATGCATTGAACAGGCCTAAATAAGGTATAGAATCTTAGAGACAGAAGGGACCTTGAAAAGCCTTCCAGTCAGGAAGGCACAATGGACATAGATATGACTGAGAGCCTAAAGGTCATCCAGTCTGATAGGAAGGAAGGCACCATCCAAGCCCTCCTGACAGATGGCCACCCAGCCAAAGATAAATGGCCATAGATGTTATTGGAAGAGATATATCATATAAACCTTGAGTCAGAAGGGTCCCCTAAAGGCCACACAGTCTGCCAGTCAGGAAGGCACCATCCAAGCTCTCCCAACGGATGGCCATTCAGGCAAAGATAAGACAGCCATAGATATGACTGGGAGAGATATATCATAGCATCCTTGAATCAGAAGGGTCTCCTAAAGGCCATCAAGTCAACCAGTCAGGAGGGCACCATCCAAGCCCTCCTGATAGATGGCCACCCATCCATAGATATGACTGGGAGAGAGATATCATAGAATCCTAAAGGCAGAAGGATCCCTTAAAAGCAATCCAATCTGATAGGAAAAGGTGCCATCCAAGCCCTCCCGACAGATGGACACCCAGCCAAAGATAAGATGGCCATAGATATGACTGCAGTCTGGATGGCCTTTAGGGGACCCTTCCGGCGATAGAATTCTATGATATATCTAGCATATATCCTACATTTATAATAGAGTTCTGGAGCTGGAAGGGTCCCCTAAAAGCTATCCAGCCTGCAAGTCAGGAAGGCACCATCCAAACCCTCCTGACAGATGGCCATCCAACCAAAGATAGATTGCCATAGATATGATTGAGTTATGTATATATATTCTATGCTAGATTAGAATTCTATTATATATCTTTGGCTGGATGGCCATCTGTCAGGAGGGTTTGGATGGTGCCTTCCTGACTTGCAGGCTGGAAGGGACTACGAGGGCCATCCAGTCCAATGCCTAAGGAGAGATGGATGGCTAGGTAGACAAATCAATCGATAGCATCCCAGACGTGGAAGGGACCACCAGAGGCCATTTAGACTGCAAAGAAGGATGGCACCGACTGATCCCTCCTGACAGATGGCCATCTGCTTCCTCTCCCCATTCCATCTCTCTCTCCTTCCTGAGGCAGCCAAGGTACCTTGCGAAAGGGGCTCCAGGTCCAGGGTCTCACAGCAGAGCGTGTCCATGTTCTCCAGGAGGACGCCTTGAGCAAGAAAAAGAGGAAGGGGCTCAGGTGGGGATACTCCACACAGGCCTCTGTGAAAGTGGGGGGAGGGAGGGAGGGGGGCTCACCTGCCAGTTTGCAGGCTTCCAATTGGACCTCCTCCAAGAGAGAGGATAGGTAGTGGGGCAGCTCTGCCAGGAGGGATTCCAGCAGCTTAGGGTCAGTCCTGACCTAAGGAAGGAAAAGAAAGAGAGAGAGAGAGAGAGAAAGGAGGAGGGAGGGAGGGAAAGGAAGGAAGGAAGGAAGGAAGGAATGGAAGGAAGGAAGGAAGGAAGGAAGGAAGGGAAAAAAGAGAAAGCATCAGAGGAAGGAGAAAGGGAAAAAGTAAGAAAGGAGAAAGTAAAGAAGAGGAGAAGAAAGGAGGGAGATGGGGGGAAAGAAAGAAAGAAAGAGAAGAGAGAAGGGAAGGGAGGGAGGGAAAGAAAGAAAGAGAAAAAAGAAGAAGAGGAAAGAGGAGGGAAGGAGGAGGGAGGGAAGGAAGGAGAGGAGGGAAGAAAGAAAGCAAAGAAGAGGAGAAGCGTGAGGAAAGGTGGAGGGAAAGAGAGAAAGGAAGAAAGAAAGAGGGAAAGAAGGAAAGAAACAGAAAGAAGAAAAGTAAAGAAGAGGAGAAGAAGGAAATGAGAGAGGGAGAGGGCGGGAAAGAAAGAAAGAAAGAAAGAAAGAAAGAAAGAAAGAAAGAAAGAAAGAAAGGGAAGAGAAAGAAGGAGAGAGAATGAAGGAAGAGGAGGGAGGGAGGGAACAGAAGGAGGAAGTAAAGAAGATGAGAAGAGGGAGGGAAGGAGGGAAGGAAAGGAAAGGAAAAGGAAGAAAGGAAGGAAGGAAGGGAAGGGAGGGAGGGAGGGAGGGAGGAAATGGAGGGAAGGAGGGATAGGAAGAGGAAAGAGAGAGCAGAAAAGGGAGGAGGGAGGGAAAGTATGTAAGAAGAAAAGTAAAGAAGAGGAGAAGAGGTAGGGAAGAAGAGAAAGAAAGAAAGAAAGAAAGAAAGAAAGAAAGAGGGAGTGGGGAGAGAAAGAGAAAGAAGGAGAGAGAAT